CACTTTTTTTAGCTACGTATTTGACGTTATCAATGAACGTATTGTTCCTTTTTTTCAATGAAATAAAATAAATATTTTATATTTTTCATCTAACAACATTTTCACTGATTCGACATTTTTTCTCATTCGATTTTTTTTTCTTTCGACATTTTTTCTTTCGACATTTTCAATACATACCGTTTTTTGCTCTACAGATAAGATATAATTTCGAAATCACAATAAATTGAATGGCATGCATTAAGTAGAAAGAAAAAACTCCGAGAGTAAAAAACGTCGAAAGAAAAAATATCGAAAGTGCTATTAATGTCACTGCAGCACACCCATTCACAAATACTGTGTGAATAATCTGCAATAGTATCCGTATCTGGCACTTATACATGAATAGTGTGTACTCGAATAGCATTAACATAATTTTCGATATATTTGTTGGTGTGCTGGAAAAATGTCGAAAGGGAAAAATGTCGAAAAGGAAAAATGTCGAAAAGTAAATTTTCACGTGGAAGAATATCGAAACAGAAAAATGTCGAAAAAAAATAATGTCTTCAGTAGATGGTGACTCTAATTACGTCTACTTCATTGTTGCTTTCCTTATAATTCTACTAGTATAGAAATTTAACCAGTAGTAGTTGCGATGACTAATATCTAATATAAATTTAATACAAAAGTTGAACGAAGATATATTATATAAATAAAATTCTACTATCATGTCTGAAGCTTGCAAGGAGAAGAAAATCGTTTTCATCATATGTATGTACAGTTTACTGCAGGTTTAGGCATTAGACAAAAACAAGCTAAAACAATTGCTATTCAACGTCGTATAAATAATCTTGGTCAACGATATTATGATGGTGCTATTAGTGCTATGGAATACTTGAACGGTATATCATTTACAGTTGCTAAACAGAAAAAATGAGAAATTGATTTTTTTTCATTACCTATATTTTATCTCTGTCGGAACGTTCACATTAACTCATATAATAAAGTATGTTCCTTATTATTCACAATTCGATGAAATATTTATCACCCACTTTCCATATCAATATTATTTTTTTGACATTTTTCCACTTCGATATTTTTCATTTCGACATTTTCCCCCTTCGTTCTTTCGACATTTTTACGGCCAACCTATTTGTTTTCAACATTTTTTCGTTCTACCAAATTCATACATACCCAATAAACTTTTGGGCATTTTCTTTGATTGATTGGAAGTTATGAATGGATTTCTCTTCAATTTGCTAACGTCTGATAAGAAGCATTATTTGGAACAATTATCTTTTTTTTTATATGAATAAGTCATCACCCTATTTTAGTGTCTATCGACTCTACACTGTTCTGGTTACAAGTTTACGACAAAAAATATCAAACAGCAGAGTCATTTAAATCAAAAGTTTCATTAACATCAATACGCGAAAAATCCTATGTTTTACAAAAGCTGATTTCAGATAAAATCCTATATTTTTAAAAACTTCTGATCGGAGGTCAGTGTATATGGTGTCTACGATATGATTGTATAAAAACCTTGATTATGTCCACCATGTTATTACAATGTTGACTCATTTGTTTTAATCGAATAAGAGAACATTCTCAACTTTTTATTTGTTAACCACGATAATCAGCACCGATATGCTGTAAAAACTATATCCTTAGAATTCCTAAAGACTTTCTGAATTATTTCCGATCTGAAACTATTCAAGAGTTTCTGAACAAAGGTCTGCGAATGCTCTGTAACTCTGAACTAATCCAACTATAACGATTTATACAATACAAATCTCTGAAATCGATTAATAGTTTTCGATTTTAGTAAAACTCTTCTTCTAGTACAAGGAATAGCAACTAATATGAGACAAACTAGAAAGTTTCTTCAACTAACCATGATGCTTTCTACAACTCCGAGCTAGGAAAGTCAAGTCTTCTTCACATCATAAGTCAAATAAAGGCAAGTCAGAATTGTAACAAATTTTCTCAAGTGAAGTCAAGTAACACTTGAATTCACTTGATTGGGACTTGAGGTGTTTTTCACTTGTCTTGCCCAGCTCTAACAAACGATGATTAGATATATGTAAACGAGACAGGAACTATCAAAGCTATTTAGAAAATAAATGCGGAAACTTCAGATTTTATCCGAAAGTTAAGTGTACTACAAAAAGTGAATCAGGCAGATTGAGTCATCGTAGAATGACTCGGCAGCTAAATTATCATCAGACACCTGTTCTATAAACAGGACTTCTATTTACTCTTGCACGTAGGA